CTTTAACTGCAGACTGTCAGCTTTAATTTGAGGGTATTTACATCCAAATCAGGTGAACGGTGTAGGAGTTACAACAGTTTGCATATGTGCCTCAAACTTGTTAAGGGACCAAAAGTAATGGGACAGAATAATAATCATAAATCAAACTTTCACTTTTTAATACTTGGTTGCAAATCCTTTGCAGTCAATTACAGCCTGAAGTCTGGAATGCATAGACATCACCAGATGCTGGGTTTCATCCCTGGTGATGCTCTGCCAGGCCTCTACTGCAACTGTCTTCAGTTCCTGCTTGTTCTTGGGGCATTTTCCCTTCAGTTTTGTCTTCAGCAAGTGAAATGCATGCTCAGGTCAGGTGATTAACTTGGCCATTGCATAACATTCCACTTCTTTCCCTTAAAAAACCCTTTGGTTGCTTTTGCAGTATGCTTTGGGTCATTGTCCATCTGCACTGTGAAGCGGCGTCTAATGAGTTGTGAAGCATTTGGCTGAATATGAGCAGATAATATTGCCAGAAACACTTCAGAATTCATCCTGCTGCTTTTGTCAGCAGTCACATCATCAATAAATACAAGAGAACCAGTTCCGTTGGCAGCCATACATGCCCACGCCATGACACTACCACCACCATGCTTCACTGATGAGGTGGTATGCTTAGGATCATGAGCAGTTCCTTTCCTTCTCCATACTCTTCTCTTCTCATCACTCTGGTACAGGTTGATCTTGGTCTCATCTGTCCATAGGATGTTGTTCCAGAACTGCGAAGGCTTTTTTAGATGTCATTTGGCAAACTCTAATCTGGCCTTCCTGTTTTTGAGGCTCACCAATGGTTTACATCTTGTGGTGAACCCTCTGTATTCACTCTGGTGAAGTCTTCTCTTGATTTTTGACTTTGACACACATACACCTACCTCCTGGAGAGTGTTCTTGATCTGGCCAACTGTTGTGAAGGGGGTTTTCTTCACCAGGGAAAGAATTCTTTTGTCATCCACCACAGTTGTTTTCCGTGGTCTTCCGGGTCTTTTGGTGTTGCTGAGCTCACCGGTGCGTTCCTTCTTTTTAAGAATGTTCCAAACAGTTGTTTTGGCCACGCCTAATGTTTTTGCTATCTTTCTGATGGGTTTGTTTTGTTTTTTCAGCCTAATGATGGCTTGCTTCACTGATAGTGACAGCTCTTTGGATCTCATCTTGAGAGTTGACAGCAACAGATTCCAAATGCAAATAGCACACTTGAAATGAACTCTGGACCTTTTATCTGCTCATTGTAATTGGGATAATGATGGAATAACACACACCTGGCCATGGAACAGCTGAGAAGCCAATTGTCCCATTACGTTTGGTCCCTTAACAAGTGGGAGGCACATATGCAAACTGTTGTAATTCCTACACCGTTCACCTGATTTGGATGTAAATACCCTCAAATTAAAGCTGACAGTTTGTAGTTAAAGCACATCTTGTTCGTTTCATTTCAAATCCATTGTGGTGGTATATAGAGCCAAAAATGTTAGAATTGTGTCGATGTCCCAATATTTATGGACCTGACTGCAATAAAGGGAAATGAAAAGTCAAAGATTATGTTTGCAAAGCTACTTACACTATTTTGAAAAGTTCAGCTATATTTTAAAGATTTTAAAGAGCATTCATTTTCTTCTGTGTTACTTTAGAAAGGTTATAGAGGGATGTTGAAATTTGTTGTTAAATCTCAGATTTAATGGATGTTTCAATAAACTGACTTTTTGGTTTCCCTTTCATCCTTTGCCAGTAAGCAATGGCCAATTGCAGCAGCTCTCTCAAGCTTCTGAAACCAGCTCTTCTATTTCTTCTTATTCTTCTGGTGTTCCTCAAGGAATTGTTAATGGTTATCACCAAGCACTTATATCTAGCGCTGCCATGTTTGAGCCAGGAATGGTGGATGTTGGCATTGCAACAGAAATATCACTTGACCCACACCTGTTGGGTAGGTCAGAGACTGCCATCCAGACAGATTTACATTCGTCTTCATCTGTATTCTCTGATCCTGATGAAGCTCAGAAACTGGCGAAGGTGAAAAGTGAAATGCAAAGAACTGTCCACCCCCCTGTCCTTCTTAAAGATACTGCCATACGCTCTGACAGCATGCTAGGGTCCCCACTGAAGAGGAAACAAAGGAAACAAGTTGGAGAGGATTTTCCTAATTCTGAATCTCCAAAAACGGCATTGTTGTTGGCCCTTAGCAAACCTCGGAAACCCATCAAAAGATCTCAGAGCTACATTTCTCTTTGGGGTGAGTTTTTTTTTCTTTTTTTGTGATTTACTGCGTAGCATGCCCAGAGGAGCATGGATGATCTTTGGTCCAATAAAACTGATACATTTTTTAATGAATATAGATTTAAAAAATAATACATTTACATGTCTACTCTTCATATCATAGGAGAACAGTAAATATAGAGATTTAGTATCTAATGCACTTGCGCACCATCTATACTTGTTAGCAGTCAGACAAGTTTTCCCTAATAAATTGTAATATTTGGCTTTGTACAGTTTCTGGTTGTTATACGTGTGATGGTATCCAAACAATACTTTGCTTCAAGGAAAGGTTGTCTTTGAAATTCCAGTGACTGTTTATATACACTCACCGGCCACTTTATTAGGTACAGCTGTTCAATGGCTTGTTAACACAAATTGCTAATTGGCCAATCACATGACAGCAGCTCCGTGCATTTAGGCATCTATGAAATGATGGCATCTTGGCATGATGAAAACAACTTGCTGAAGTTCAAACCGAGCATCAGAATAGGGAAGAAAGGAGACTTAAGTGATTTTAAACATGGCATGGTTGTTGGTGCCAGACGGGCTGGTCTGAGTATTTCAAAAACTGCTGATCTACTGGGATTTTCACTCACAACCATCTCCAGGGTTTACAGAGAATGGTGCAAAAAATAAAAAATATCCAGCGAGCAGCAGTTGTGTGGACAAAAATGCCTTGTTAATGTCAGAGGTCAGAGGAGAATGGGCGGACTGCCAAGGTATGCAGAATACCATCTCTGAATGCACAATACGTTGAACCTTGAAGCAGATGGGCTACAGCAGCAGAAGACCACACCAGTTGCCACTCTGGTCAGCTAAGAACAGGAAACAGAAGCTACAATTCGCACAGGCTCACTAAAATTGGACAATAGAAGATTGTAAAAATGTTGCCTGGTCTGATTAGTCTTGATTTTGGCTGCGACATTCAGATGGTAGGGTCAGAAATTGTCATAAACAACATAAAAGCATGGATCCATCCTGCCTTGTATCAACAGTTCATAGACGTGCAGCCGACAAATCTGCAACAACTGCGTTATGCTATCATGTGAATGAGCACAATTCACTAAGCGGTATCTTACCGCATCCAAGAATGCGGTAGGATACTGCATAGCATTTTATTTTTTAAAAGTTTGAATTCACGAAAAAACGCTACTAAAATACTGCATGAGTTAGTTTATCAAGTCATGCGGTATTTTAGTAGTGAAAACCATGCATTAATGTTTCAGCTGTCAGCTGGGTTCCCCACTGACAGCTGAATATAAAATAAAGAATTGTCGGCAATTAAAAAATAATTAAAAAAACCGGTATGGGGTCTGGTATGGATTTTGGGGGGAAACCCCACGCCAAATGTTTTTAAAAAAATGGCGTGGGGTCCAGCCAAAATCCATACCAGACCCTTATCCAAGCATGCAGCCTGGCAGGTCAGGAAAGGGGGGGGGGGGGGGGGACGAGCAAGCGCACCACTCCTGAACCATACCAGGCCACATGCTCTCAACATGGCAGGGTTGCCCCTCTTCCCCAAAGCACCTTGTCCCCATGTTGATGGGGACAATGACCTCTTCCCCACAACCCTGGCCGGTGGTTTTGGGGATCTGCGGGTGGGGGCCTTATCAGAAGCCTCCTTTAGCAAAGGGGCCCCCAGATCTGCCCCCCCATGTGAATGAGTATGTGGTGCATGGTACCACCACCCATTCACAAAAAAGAAACAGTGAAAGCAGACAGGAGACAGTCCTTGATAAGTCCTTTATTAAAAGAAGAAAAATAAAAGAATGTCCCCCAAAGTAGATCCAATAATCCAGTAATCACGATGCTTGCTGCCACCACCACTATGTTGAGGGCATACAGCCCGGCAGGTCAGGAAAGGGAGGGGGGGATGAGGGGGGGATGAGCAAGCGTCCCCACTTTCCTGACATGCCGGGCTGCATACTTGGATAAAGGGTCTGGTATGGATTTTGGGGGGGACCCCACGTCATTTTTTTTTTATTTTGGCATGGGGATTCCCCTCAAAATCCATACCAGACACAAAGGAACCCCACTGACAGCTGATGACTCATAGGTTTTTTAAGGACTCAGCAGCCACCCATTCCTTGTCAACCCATGACAATACTGACACAGATACCAGTACATACCGCATGCCTGGACCACTACTTAATTACCACATGCATTAAATTATTTATTTCCTTTGTGAATTGACTTTAAGGTCTTTTTATGCGGTATTTACCGAGTGTTTTTGCTATTTTCGGTAAATACCACATGCTAGCCATAGTGAATTGACATATTCAGTATTGCATGCGATATGTGGTCATGTGACTGACTTCACTGATGCGATAAGCTTTAGTGAATTGTGCCCAATATGGACTAAAATCTCTGAGGAAAGTTTCCAACACTTTGTTGAATCTATGCCACAAAGAAGGCAGTTCTGAAGTCAAAAGGGTGCCCAACCTGGTACTAGCGAGGTGTACCTAATAAAGTGGCCCGTGCTCATAATGCTTAGTGAGTTTTTTTTTTAAAGTACATCCAACTATTCTTGTGTGACAGTCTAAGAGAGTACCAAATCCAGTTAAAAATAGACAAAATGCCTTCTTTACCTTTCATGACAAATCCTCATTTGTGTCATATGCACTCTCCCTCCCAAGCACTGCAGCTCACAGCGGGAGGGCTTCAGCAACACAGACAGTACTGTCAATCCAGAAAGCAGTTGGTAGGACTAGATGTGTCTTGATGCTGACTCAGCAGCTGCAGGCTTGGGAGTCAGCCAGGGGCGGACTGACCATTTGGAAACTCGAGCACTGCCCGAGGGCCCGGGGTCAGTAGGGGGCCCCATGAGATGCCTCTGGTACCTTTTTCATAGGCTTTTTTGTGTTTGGGCAAGGACACAGGGGCCCCATGATCCCCTATTACCTGGGAGGCCCCATGAGTTGTCAGTCCGCCCCTGGAGTCAGCAGTGACAATTTCAATAGCCTAGTCCCTTGCAACATTTTTTCAGCCCATTTTCATGCAAGCAGGCACAGCAATGTGGCAACTCTACTCTGAATTAAGGGGCAGTGCAACATCATTCCCAGATTATCACAGTGAGCTGCATTGTGTGGACTTCACTGGCAGAATCTTCAGGTATTTATGGGTCTTTGCAGTGGTAGGTTTGGATGCACTTATAGTTAATGACTGCAGCACATATTTTGTTGAATAAGAGGTCATAGTTCCGCTATGACCAATGTCCTCAGAGACCAATGCTTAGTTATCAGAAAATAACAATGACAATAAAGCAGCCATATAAAATGGCAGCCACAACCTCCCCCTAAATAAAGATAAAGGTTTTATTTTAGTTTAAATGTTCTTTTATACAGAAGCCCGAAAGAAGAAGAAAAAAGAGAAGAAGAGTTCCCCTGAAAATACTGGCCTACAACGTTCAAAAACCTTCCTAAACCTGTTTTTTAAAGGCGGGCGCTGGAAAGAAGATGGAGGGGGCAGCAAAGAATCCTCCACACCTGATTCAAAAAGGAAAGCAAGGTTGCCATCACAAGGTGAATCAGAAAAAGGTAAATAGACTTTGCCATGAGCTGTTTCTACTGTGTCAGCTTGCAGAATGGTCATTCCACATTAGTATTGTACTATATTCCAATCAACAAGTTTTCTTTCATTTTCAGTTCTTGTTTATATGCCTTGCTGTAAGCACAATTGTGATTCATATCCATGTGCTAATATGGAAATATGACACTCATTACTACAAAACTGAAAACTAAATCTGATTCATCACACACACTATTCCTTTATATATCTGAATTTGCATTATAACCCAATTCAAGGCTCAAGCCAAAAAACAGGGATGATTAAAAAAGACTTATTCTGTAAAGAATGTAATGTAAGCACACAGCTAGAAGGGTATATAATAATCATGCAAGAGCCCATTGACATCCTGGGCCTTGTTACACCCTCTATACTCCTGGTAGTTATTCCAGAGTTGACATGAAACTTTGGAAATAATTGTTTGCTGTTCCTTTTAAACAGTCATTCTAGCCAAAACTGATATTTTAGTTAAGTCATGTAATTTTCCAGCATCTATCATAGCAGTTTCTTGTATGTAACATGTAAAAAGAGGTTCTGGAACACAAAATGTTGGGCGTGAAATCCCAAAATACACATGATAGACACAAACGGAGTCAGAATTTATGGCAGGAACAACTCGCTGTTGGAGTACAGTATTAGAAGGCTGAGGCCCACTCAGTCCTACATTTTGCACCTCTAACTAAAAGATCACTTTTTGGTGGACTGATACTTTAAAGTTTTATTTATAGTGCCCATTGACCTACTGTACATATCATGGAGAAAACAGAGCTGCATGATAAACTTGTTTGCCCTGCCTGAGCTATTTTCACCACTATCTCTCTCTCTCTCTCATTCAGTCGTGTCCGACTCTTGGCGATTGCATGGGCCGTCACTCTCCACTCTTTCCGGTCTTGCACCTTTCTTATTAGCTGATACATGCTTAGGCCAGTGTTCAATTTTACAGCATCCAACCAGCATGTTTTCGGCCTTCCTCTTTTTCTCCCCCCACTGACCATACCAAGTAATGTTGCCTTCTCTAAGGAATCAGATCGCATCACATGCCCAAAATAAGTCAGCTGTAATTTGACTATCTTTCCTTCTAAAGTTATTACTGGTTTAACTCGCTCTAAAACATCTCTGTTGGTAATCTTTGCTGTCCAGGGTACCTTTAATAGCCTTCTCCAGCACCATATTATTCGCCACTATAGTGTATCCTATTTGTCCACTCTCAGGACTCCACCTTGGCCATATGGAGGGCACCATGCTAAGGAATCAGTTTATGGGTTCTACAAGCCATTGATTAAACAAAGGCACCTATCACCTATAAAAGGTGTGGGCCAAAGTCCTTCATCCTGAAGCTTCTGTCAGTGCTATGTGGCAGAGAAGCAACGTTCAATACTGTATAATATTTGAAGTCTATAACTTAACCACCACTTGTCAAACCACACTGTTCAAAAGCAACCCTTGTTCTATATTGAGATATTACTTCCCAGAAATCGAGCAGCTTACTTAAAATTCAGAGTGTATTGGAATTCATATAAATCACACATTGAACCAGATCAAACAAACACTTGGTGGTTTAATGCACAGCAAGAAATGGCCTCAAAAGTATTTAAAATACATTCTGCTATCTTAAAGGACACTATCTAATGTCCTTGAGTTAACATCTTAGAAGAGAAGTTGCCTCCAACTTGCCAGCAGGAAGATCTGCTCCTAGTCTAGACTTGATGTCATAATCTGCCTGTTTATTCCAGAGGAGGCCTACTGTCTTCTCTAAAGCACTCTATAAGGTGGACAAGCTGTGTTTGTCTGCAAACCACCACTCATCTATGTTGTGAACAGGGCACAGAAAAAACAATTGTGCGGTGATGAGCACAAAAATGCAATTCAACAGACATGGTGTGCGGCAGCACAGTGGCTAAATGGTTAACACTTCTGCCTGGCAGCACTAGGTTTGTTGGTTCAAATCCCAACCATGGCACCGCCTTGCCTGCAGTGGTGTATTTTTTTGGTTTTGTGCTGCCCTAGGCAAGACTAAAATAGGGCTCCACCCACTGACAACGATGGGGTGCTATTCCTCCCACTGACACCAACGATGGGGCACGATTCCTCCCACTGACACTAATGTTGGGGCACTATTCCTCACACTGACACCAATGATGGGGCACTATCATTAGTGTCAGTGTGTGAGGAATAGTGCCCCATCATCGGTATCAGTGGGAGGAATAGTACTCCATCATTAGTGTCCGTGGGAAGAATCGTGCCCCATCATTGGTGTCAGTGGGAGGAATCGTGCCCCATCATTGGTGTCAGTGGGAGGAATCGTGCCCCATCATTGGTGTCGGGGAGGAATAGTGCCCCATGATTGGTATCAGTGGGAGGAAGTACCCAATCATTAGTGTCAGTGGGAGGAATCGTGCCCCATCATTGTTGTCAGTGGGAGGAATCGTGCCCTATCATTGGTGTCAGGGGGAGGAATAGTGCCCTATCATTGGTGTCAGTGGGAGGAATAGTGCCCCATCTTTGGTGTCAGTGGGAGGAATAGTGCCCCATCTTTGGTGTCAGTGGGAGGAAGTTCCCCATCATGGGTATCAGTGGGAGGAATAGTGTCCCATCATTGGTGTCAGTGGGAGGAATAGTGCCCCATCATTGGTGTCAGTGGCAGGCCCGGAGTCAGTGACACCAATGAGGGGGCACTATTCCTCCCACACTGACACTAATGATGGGGAACTATTGCTCCCACTGACATCAATTATACTTACATTGCTGTGCTGACCCCTGCTCCAGGCCGGGCTCCCTCCTTCAGGCACAGACACTTACCCATCAGCTGTCTTCCTTCTCCAGCCGCTCTCCTCTTCACCGGCTCCAGCTGCTCCCTCACTCGATCTTCAATCTTGGCGCTGCCGCTCGGCTCCTCCTCTCCAAGCTCTGCCTCCTCGCCTGTGATTGGCCGCCTGTGTGCCATTTCTAAGCTACAGATCTGGCGTCTAATCACTGGCGAGGAGGCAGAGTTTGCAGAGAAAGGGACAGGCTGCCATAGGCTGCCCAGTGATCCCAGGGGTGTGGCCAGATTCGAGGGGCGGCTTGTCATCCCGCCCACATCGCGATCAAGATCCAGGAAGATGAAGACACTGGATGGACACCCTCTGCACCCCTCCTCCTGCAGCGCCTTGTGGACCGGATCGACGTGGGACACGAAGTCAGGTAAGACACAGCAGCCCCTGTCCCTTTCCCATGGAAGTGTCCCTTCCACGGGAAAGGGGGGGGCAGCGCTGCCGCCGTGCCGCCCCCCTGAAAAGTGCAGCCCTAGGCAAATGCCTTGTTTGCCTCGCGTCAAATACGCCCCTGGGACAAGTGAGGGGCAGTGGGACAAGAGGAGTGCAGTGGGACAAGTGAGGGGCAGTGGGACAGGAGGAGCGCAAAGGGACAGTAGGGGGCAGCATGACTGGGGGGGCATGGGACAGGATCGGGGCAGCAGGACAGGAGAAGCGCAGTGGGACAGGAGAAGCTTAGAAGGATAGGTGAGGGGCAGTGGGACAGGAGGAGCGCAGAGGGACAGGTGGGACAGTGTGACAGGGGGCATGGGACAGGATCAGGGCAGCGGACAGGAGGAGTGCAAAGGGACAGGTGAGGGGAGGGACAGTGGGACAGGAGAAGCGTAGAGGGACAGGTGGGGGGCAGCGGGACAAGAGTAGCGCAGTGGGACTGAGGCAAAACCAAGAAATAGAGAACTGTGGAATGTAGTCCAATCATCCTGGGCTGGAATACCTGTTCACAGGTGCCAGAAGTTGGTTGACTCCATGCAACACAGATGTACAGCAGTTCTCAGAAACAGTGCTTATACAACTAAATATTAATGAAGTGATTCAAAGGAAAGCAAAATCTTCAAACATTTTTCAGTTTATATAGTGAATGTTTGACTTTATAAAGAAGAATACAAACACTGCTATTTTTTTGAACAGTCTAATATTCACTTTTCTTCAATTTCTTTAGAGGAACAAGACAAATTTGATATATTTTTCTTCGTTTTGATTTGGAATAGAATGTGTAGTGTTCCCAATGCATTTGTGTGGAAAGAAAAGCTGTTAGAAGGATTTTTAGCTTTAGTCACTTTTTTCAACACACTGCTATTATTTTGAACACAACTGTATGTAAAGCACTGCATAAATTGATGGCACTATATAAGTACCTGAAATAAATAATAAACAGGCCCTGAAGAGGAATACAGCCAGAGGCACATATGCCATACACAACATAAAGAGGTCATGAAGGAAGATTTTGTGCACTATGCATTTGTAAAAATATCATATGTACTTTATATAGTATTTTGTTATGTAGAATTCTTATAGATAACTAGAGAAAACCAAAGGAAAAAAAAGAAATGTGTATGCCCTTCTAAATTTCTTTTTTTTTCAGCTGCATTTCAAAATTTTGAATTGGCCCACATAACTGGACAGTGACACTTTGC